GACGGTCGCCATCGTCGTCATCATCGTGATCATCGTCATCATCAGCATCAGCATCATCATCGTCATCAGCCGCATCATCATCAGGAGCAACAGCATCGTCATCAGCCGCATCATCATCAGCAGCAAAAGCACAGTCATATTCGGCATGATCAGCATCCTGGCCATCAGCAAAACCATCATCATCACCATCACCATCATAGTAAGCATCATCAGCATCATCATCATCATCATCATCAGCTTCAGCATCAGCTTCATCAGCATCACCACCATCATAATCATCATCAGCATCGTCACCATCATCACCATTACCATCACCGTCATCCTTATCCTCATCATCATCGTCACCATCGTCATCATCATGATCAGCATCATCATAATCATCATCATCATCAGCATCATCATCAGCATCATCATCATCATCATCATCATCATCATCATCATCATCATCATCATCATCATCATCATCATCGGCATCGGCATCGTCAGCGTCAGCGTCAGCGTCATCGTCCTCCATCCTCCATCCCCCATCCTCAGTCCTCCGTCCTCCGTCCTCCATCCTCCCTCCTCCCTCCTCCGTCCTCCATCTTGCATCCTCCTCCTCCTCCTCCTCCTCCTCCTCCTCCTCCTCCTCCTCCTCCTCCTCCTCCTCCTCCTCGGGGGGGCTCCCGGCTGAACACGTCCCCGCCCCAGGTGCAGGAGCTGAAGGCCAGGACCCTGCGTGGCGGCATCACGGTGGCCGCCATCGTCGTGGTCATGGCCGCCACCGCCGAAGCCGCCGTCGCATCAGCGAGCGCAGTCGTGGCCGTAGCCGCAGCCGCAGCCGTGGCCGCAGTCGCCGCCGCCGCCGCCGCAGCGCTCCTGCGCGCGAGAGCTCGACGGAGGAGGAGGGGGGGGAGGGAGGGCGGGAGGGAGGGGAGGAAAGTGACTGGGACGGGGAGGAGGATCGAGGATCGAAGTTTGATCATCGAGGACCGAGGTGTCATGACGCGTCTGCAACCTCTGGGCCTCTGGAAGACGTGCGCGGGGAAATCCGCAGACCTCTGGCGTCTAGAAACCTGCACGACGAGGAGGCGGAGAAGGGCCAGAGTGAATCCTCCTCTTCGTCGTCCTGCCACAAAGCTGCCATGCACCCGAGTCCCTGCAAATATGTCATCTTGTCCATGCGGAGAGAGCGCCCCCGCGAAAGACGCACGCCCCATTGGGGCCCGACGTCCACGCGAGGGCCGTGGGTGTGAAAGGGAACCGCCATCTATGATGTAAACCGCAGAAAAGTGAACCTGCAAGATGAACTTATCAGTCTGGAACATGTCCCTATCCCGATGTTGGGCACCGCCTCATCACGATGGCGATCTTAGGGCTTCCTCAGTGTCTGAGGGTGCATGCCTAAGATTGTCATCGCCTTTCGGCGTGTCAATCTTAGGGACAGGGGTAAGTTCGAGGCTGGTGATATATATATACACATATATGAATATCTATAGATGTATATATGTGAGCAACCATCCAAAAGCGGGCCTTACGCCAGATGGCACAGCGACCTCACGCGGAGGCTGACGCGGGCCACCAGCGCGGCACGCTGCACTGGCGACGAGGGCGCTTACGCGGGACCTTGCGCGTGCAGCTCACGCGCCAGTGTCGGCGCCGACCCCATGTGTCAAGACGGTGTTAAGCAATAACCCTGTCGAAGTGGAGCCGCCCTTCATCCGCGCAACTGTTTCACAGGATCTCAGATTCAGATTCAGGCTGTGACATCCTCGACGCCCTGGGGCGATGAACCCCTTCTGAAAGTCAACCGCCAACTGTCCGTGCAGCTGTTGCACATCATAGATGTTAACACGTGCCGACACACAACTCCGGCGAGATCATATTTGAAAACAGTCCGCCCTCCGTCCTTGCAACTGCCCGGGGCTAACGTACAATCCGTGTGCGCGGCGATGAGGCCACAACTGCGATTTGAAAACGGCAAGCCCTCCGCTGCCTTCCGAGAAACTGCTGAGCACTCTTCCGACGAACGCGCGCGGCGGCGACGGCGGCGGCGACTACGACGGTCACGTCGGCGGCGACCATGGCGGCAACGGCGACGGTGACGGCGGCAACGGCGACGGTGACGGCGGCAGCGGCGGCGACGGCTCCCACGGCGGCAGCGGCGGCGGCGACACGGCGGCGACACGACGGCGGCAGCGCAGCACGGCGGCGACGGCGGCTTCGGCGGCGACCGCGGCGGCAACGGCGGCCGGCGACAACGGGCGTCGGGCACGCGGCTGGGTGTGCCTGCCGCGCCGACCTTCGGGGTCGTCCACCACCCGGGCGCCGCCCCCCTCCGCGACAATCCACCGCTCCTCCACCGGCGCTCGCGGTCAGGCGACGACGCCGCCGGGCGAGTCATCGCGACCGCGGTCGCCGGGGCCGCCGCCGCCGCTCGTGCTGGTCGTGGTCGGTGCGGTCGTCGCCGCGGTCGCGGTCGTCGCCGCAGTCGCGGTCGTCGCCGCGGTCGTCGTCGTGGTCGCCGCCGTCGTCGTGCTGGTCGTCGTTGGCGTCGTCTGGCGCCCTGCACCAAAGTGCGCCGCTGACGCCAAGGGCGTCGATTGAAGCGATGACCAGGACGGCAGCGAAGACACCGAAGGCGGCAATGGGGTCGGCGGCGACGCAAGCGGACGTCGCCGACGACGACTGATGGCGACGGCGATTTTGACGAAAACGACCCCGGGGCAGGCCGGAAAAAAGGGGGGGAGGCCCTGGGGGGACGGAAGCACCGATGCCGCCACTCCCCAGACCTCTCCGTGGAGGCGTGCGTTCTGACCAGCACTTCGAGGCGAGCCTGGCCGTGGAGACGATCGGGGGTCCACTGACCTAGGTCAGTCCAGACCCGGGTCAGAGAGGCTCTGCAGGATCCTGCAGGGCATCCTGCACCCAAACACCCACGTCAGTGCGGCTCACGCTCTGCAGGATCCTGCAGGATCCGGCGCTTGGACGGATCCCCGTTTGCACGGACCCCCGTCTGCCGAGTTTCGAGTCGAGGGGAGCGGCAGCGCTTCGGGCGGGTGACCATGGAGGGTGACCAACGTGGGGGTGGGAAGAAAAGGGCCTCTTTGGGGCCTCCTTCTTCACCGGGTCCCCGAACGGTGTCGGTGTGCCTTCTTCTGCTGCGGGCTGGCTTGAAGCTCGGGCGGCGAGAGCGACGACAACCGCTGGCGCCGCCAAGCGGGCGTGTCCGCCGGCGATGCCTCGCCGCGGGGGCCGGGGCCCCTCTGCGGCAGCCCGGCGCTCGGCGAGGACTTCGGAACTCGGAACGGCAGCACCAGCGCGGCGAAGACCCTGTCTAGCCGTTGTCGTCGCAATTCGGCCTGCACTGGGCGAAAGTCTCGAGCGAGAGCGCCTTCCCTGAGTCTGGTGCCTCTCTGGCCAGGGTGTCTCAGAGGAGAAGGTCAGGGAGTGTCGGGCGGGAACCGTTGTCGTAGCGGGGCCTTCGCCCACCTGCACGAGTCCCGAGACATTCTCGAGTAAGGACGCTGTTCCTTAGCCAGGTCATCTCGGAGCAAATTGGAATGAAGCATCAAGCGGGAGCCGCTGTCGTCGTCGCTGGGCCTTCTCCAACTTGTATGAATACTTACGAGGAGGTCTCGAACGAGAGCGCTCGTCCTCAGTTGGGGAGCCTCTCTGGCCAGGGCGCCTCCGAGGAAACTGTCAGGAGGTATCCAGCGGGACCCGTTGTTGTCGCAGCTGGGCAGTCGCCAACCCAGGTGACTTGTGAGGAACTCTCTAGGGCGAAAGCGCAGCTCCAGACTGCGAGAGCGTGTCGGGCAATTGTGGGTCTCTAGGCGTACAGTCGGACTTCATTGGACAGGACACGCGAGAGGACACGAGAGCCTTCCGAGTGCCACATTGCCGTAGGTCGCGAGACACAGGACACCAAGGGTACCCTTGACTTGGCAGGTTCGACCTACGAATCAAGGCCGACTGTATGAGACCCTTCTGACTGCCTACCAGACCAACCCAGCCTGACCCGAAGACACGAATTTCGGGTTGCGGGGGGTACGGGTTCTACGTGTGCGTTTGTCCATGTTCCCCGACGCCCTTCCCCCCCCCACTGGGAAATGCAGGAAAAATTGGGGCCTTCGGGTTGAGTTGGGGTAATTTGGTGGGTGGTTATCTTCCCCCTCCATAATATCCCACCCACCCGGGTCCCCGAACCGGAAATCTTGAGGCCTCCTAGATGGAGTCGGAGTAGAAGGGGTCGGAGGATCGCGCCGCATCGCCGATACATCGGCGATGCATCGGCGATGCAGCGGCGGTGCACAGGCGATGCATAGTCGACGTCGGCGATGCATCGCCGACGTGGACGTGAAGCAGACTAGGCCCCGCATCGAGCCGCACCGGCGATGCACCGGCGATGCGGCGCGATCCTCCGACCCTGTCTGCTCCGACCCCATCCAGGCCAGACCAGACAGAACCGTGCCTGGGGCGGCACATCGGCTGCACAGCGCGGCTGCTGCACGCACTGCCGCTGGCAGAAGGCAGTCGCCCCGCTCGCAGCGGCGTGGTCTGAAGCAGCCTGGAAGAAAAACACACATACGACAGTATGTGACCTGCCAGGAGGCCATCCAGGAGGCCTAGAAAATCCGACTCCCCCCCCCAAATGGCCTCGCGGACGACCCCCGGCCGAACTCACCAGGGGGGGGAGCTCTCCCCTGCGTGGCGGTTTTCTGGTCCCTCCCCAGGGCGGGGTTGGCCCTCCCTGGGTTGTCTCTTGAGCTTTGTGTGCCCCAAGATGGCCTTCAGAGCTCCAAGACGACTTCAGAAACCTTCGGAGACCCCACCACAGCCGTGTGATGGCTTTTCTCTTGTGCCCCAAGATGGCCTCCAGAGCTCCAAGGCGAATCCGAAAATCTTCTGAGACCCCACCACAGCCGTGTGATGACCTTCCTCGGCCCCAACCTAGGTACAGAAAGACGCCTCGGAAGGCGTTTGGAACCACTTCCAAAAGAGCTCCACGAGGGCTCCACAAAATTCTTGAACAAAACTCTCTCCGCGCTCTCGCCGTTTCCGCTTCCCGGCGCTCCGCGCTGGGTCAAGAGGCCCCCCGAGTCGCCCCAAGAGAGCCCACGAGGCAACCCCAAAACGGCCCCCAAGGGCCACCCAGACAACCCGAGAGGCCTCCACGACGGCCCCACGGGCCCCGCGGAACCGCTCCCAGAGGAGGCGCACGCCGGGGAACTCGAACGGATACTTAACGCCCCCCGGCCCAAGGGACCCCACGGGCCCCGGGAACCTCCCAAGACGTCCCCAGGAAGCCCCACGAGGCCTCCGAGAGGTCCCACAAGGCGTCCACGAGCACTCCCAAGAGGGCAGGGACTCCAATAGAAGGTACTCTGGCCAGTGACCCGCCGAACGCAGCCCTCCCCGATGTGGGAGACGCTGCAATGCCAGAAAGTGGCCCTACAACGGCAACTTTCGGCAATCTTCCCCAAAAAACTCGTTGATGAGTACCGGCTGCGGTGCCGCTGACCAGCGTCGAAGCGAGAGCGCCCGGCAGCCCGTCTAGACTACCTACCAGACCACCCCAACCCAACCCGAAGACCTGGATTTCGGGTTGGGGGGGTATGGGTTCCATACGTGCTTTTTCGATGTTCCCCGAACCCCCCCAAACTGGAAATGGAGAGCAAATTGAGGCCTTCGGGTTGGGTTGGGGTGGTCTGGTGGGTGGTGACTTCTGTAGATCAACAAAACCTGCTCATTAGAGCAGACGGGGTGTTCGGCGACAGGCTGCGCCTGCCGACGGCGGCGACGACGCCGACGACGAGAGCGACGAAAGCGACGAGAGCGACGACGACGACGACGACGACGACGACGACGACGGCGACGACGACGAGAGCGATGACGACGACGACCACGACGACGACGACGATGACGACGACGACGACGAGGACGAAGACAACGACGGCGACGGCGGCGACAGCAAGAGCGGCGACGGCGGCGACGATAACGACGGCGGCGGCGACTGGCGAATACGACGCGGGGGGGCACGTCGCCGACGGGCGGGGGCTGACGTCGGGGAGCAAAAGAAGCATCAGCGACACGCCGCCGCGGCGAAGCCACAATCGCGTCTGTAACTCAAGAGGCCATGCGCCCTGACAAAAAAAACGAAGGAGCAGCACCACGTCGACGGGTTCCCCATGGCGGCGTGTGGCGTGTCGCCGATACTCTCCCCAGAGAACCGAACATAAACGCTAACTTGTTGGAGGTCCGCGCGGATCTCTTGGATCCACGCTCCCTGGCGCGCGGAGCGCGCCAGGGAAGCGCTGGAAGCGCCGCCAGGGCGTTCCAGCGCCGATCCGACTAATCCACGAGGGGCTCAAACAGATTATGTTGGTGTCGTTGTTTCTTCGAGTAGCGGTACCGTTTTCCTCCTCTGGTCCCTAACTTTCGGGGCACAACCTTGAACCTCAAACCTCGAAACATGTCGTCCCCTCCTCCGAGAAATCCAAGCGGGCCTCCGTTAAAGTATGTTTACGCAATGTTTGATGTTTGATCTTCCCACTCCTCCTCACCCACCGCCTCCTCCTCCTCCTCCTCTCTCCTCCTCCTCACTCCTCCTCCTCCTCCTCCTCCTCCTCCTCCTCCTCCTCCTCCTCCTCCTCCTCCTTCTGGCTGGAGCTTAGTTCGGTGCAGTCTCAGCGAGCTGACGCAGTACCCCTCGTCCCCACATCGTCCCGTTCGTTTGAAGTTCGCGTCCATGATCCCTGTCCTGTCCAAGTCCGAAAAGCTCCCCATTAGGAAGCCCTGAGGACCCCTTCTAGAAGCCCTTCCCTGGACCAGGACGCATGCGGTTCTGGGCACCCTGGAGGCGATCCCGGAGGACGTCGGGGAACCCGACCAGCAGCAAGCTGCACTAGATAAGTCGTATGAATACTTTTGCATGAAATGGAAACCAACATCAACCGAGCTACAAATACCCCGACGAACCATCCTGGAGAAAGATGCGCCCGCACCCCAAAATTGGGTTACCAGCTAAAACAATAGAGAGACGGCACAGAGTGCAATGGAAGTCTCATTGGCGATCTGTTCGATGGCTGCTCAACCAGGCTATGGAAGTATAAGTGGCCATCGCCAGGAAGCAAGAAGCAGACAGATGTTCTGCATTCGCTTGAAGAGCCGCCAGCCGAGTATCAGTCGAGTGAGGAGCTGCGCGCAGTCATCGACAAGATGCGCGCTTTTAGGGGCGAGCCCCCAGCAAGACCTCCAAGTTCGGGCCCGGAAGGCTTTCCGGACCAAACCAAGGAGATATGTTCTGAGTTGCGCGACAAGGTGAAGAAATATTTGGATCGAGAAACTAGCACTGAACTTTAGGAGCCACACAAACTTGGAAGCAATGGGTTTCGAACAACGGACCAAAACAGCCAGAGGGGACTTCTCGGGATGCCCTGCGGATGTGCTCTACTCGTAGGTCCGCCGTCTACCTACAATACAGGAGTCACAGCCGGTTGAACATCCAAAGATTTATGGAGATTCCGGATCAGCCTCCAAGCTTCCGAAGATCACCGTGAGCTTGCTCAAGAGGGCCCTTGATAACCTCAGCCACGCCAGCGCCGACGTGGGACGGCATCTTCCCGTGCCATTCCCGACTGCTGACGACGATCAGCAGGCCCTCCTCTGCAAGTTCCTCATGTGCGTGGAGCGCGCCGGCAGCATACCGTCTCGGCTTCTTGCACTTGCTACTACCCTTCTCCTAAAACACAAATCGTCAGGCGAGGGCCCGTCGTACCGAGGGATTGGTTTAGGGCCTGCTGTTTATCAAGATCGGAGTCGAAGCCAGCATGGCGCAGCAAGAAGCTGGGAAAGAAGTACTAAGCGAGAGTTTCAAGCCCACCAAGCTGGGCGAGGCTGATGAGACCCTCGACCAATGAGATCGAGGAAGCCAGCCAGGCCCGTGCTCTTCTAGCCAAATGGCTTCGACATGCTGCTAAAGCTTAGCTTATTGGGGAGCCTGTGAAACCGAAAACCATGAAGAAATCTTGCGCCTCTCGAGACAACACTGTGGCCCAGCCCATTGCGGCAGGCGCTTGTAGTGCCCGTGTGGTTTGGACTGGCGAGGCTCCTCCTCAGTCAGACCCCAAGGTCCCCAGGCCCCAAGTAATCCCCTACACTCCTGGGAATGGAATAACAGAACCCAGAAGTGGCTCTTCACGGTTTGAAAGACAAGATGTTATAATCCAACTTTCTCGTCTCGCAAAGATGAAACCTGTCGGAGCTATACTTTACAGATGACCCTGATAGCTGCCGGTCCAAAGGCCACATATGCATTGGTCGTCAGAAGCAGACTCTAAACTTTGTGCTGATGTGTTCTGGCTGCGGCAAACGCAGCGAATCGAAGAGAGTGAGATCCAAGGGAGCTGCCAAGGATTCAGGACCGCTGGGCACAAGACGCAGTGGAACCGTCTCTGCGCGGGCAAGCATCCCCAAGTCCTCGTGAAAGGCTCCCTCCACTTTCCACCACCCCCTCAGGCCCCAGGACTTGTAGCCAGTTAAGCAGCCAGAGCTGCTGAGTCCCGGTCCTTAGAGAAGGATGAGGGGCTTGAGCGGAGCTAACCTGCTGCGCTCTCCAGCCACGTACTGATCCTGCTCAGAGCTTAGAACTGTTGGCTACAGTATCGGTCCTACTCAGCCCTCCTCCTCCTCCTCCTCCTCCTCCTCCTCCTCCTCCTCCTCCTCCTCCCACCCACCCCACACAGGATTTTCGGGAACTGGGTTTTCGCTTTGTTTTTGTTCGGCAAAATGCTCCCGCTGAACCGCTGGCCTCGTTTTCGGCCTTCCGCTCGTTCCAAATCGTGTTCCCGCTGCAACGCTGGCCTCATTTCCGCGCTTCCGCTCGTCCCGAATCGCGCTCCCGCTGCAGCTCTGGCCCCATGTCCTGGTTTTCGTATGCGTTTTTGGAAATCCGATCCTTCTCGGTCCTTCAACATGTTGCTCCCGCTGCAGCGCTGGCCCCATGTCTGCGCCTCTGAATGTTCCAAAACGTGTGCCCGCTGCAGCGCGCGGGTTTTCGGTCCTTCCAAACAGGTCCCAAATCCACAGAATTTCACCCTAAAACGTCGCAAGTGATTACACATCCGTTGTCGATTCGTTGAATTCTTGGGCCGCAGAAAGCTCCCCCACTTTGGGGCGGCGGCGCTGGGGGAAATAGAAAGCGGGAGCCGTTTCTGCTTTCAGAAGGCGATGTTGCAAGCAGGGCCAGCGGGTGCTCTCCATCAGCCCCGCCTTGCGGGGAGCTTGTCGCGGAGCCCAGGGAGCTAAACATGGAGCCGCGACTTCAGACTGGCCATGACCCTTCGAAGACTATCCACTGACCCTCAAATGAACCCGGTGCCCTGCCATGAATGGCTGTGCGGTGTTCTGTTCTGCGCCGCTGTGCGATGCCATGCTTTGCGTTGCAATGCTTTGTGATGCAATGCGTCACTACGCAATGCCACGCTAGGCTATGACATTATACGCTCTGCCGTGCTCTTCTACGCCGTGCCATGCCGTGCTCTACGATACATCGCGCACCCTCTCGCGATCATTGTCCTGCTCGACATCCGACTGTGCGAATAGAGAGGAGATCTGCGCCATTGTAAGGGATGGGAGGGAGGGGTAGGACGTCAGACATGACGCGAGCGCACCTAGCTTGTCACCCCCCCCTCCTACTCCTCCTCCTCCTCCTCCTCCTCCTCCTCCTCCTCCTCCTCCTCCTCCTCCTCCTCCTCCGTCCTCCTCCTCCTCCTCCTCCTCCTCCTTCCTCCTCCTCCTCCTCCTCCTCCTCCTCCTCCTCCTCCTCCTCCTCCTCCTCCTCCTCCTCCTCCTCCTCCTCCTCCTCCTCCTCCTCCTCCTCCTCCTCCTCCTCCTCCTCCTCGTCCTTCACGTCAATGCTTGCTTGTGCCCCTCCCGCGTGCGGCCGCGGCCGCGGCCGCCAGTCCTCCAGTGCGCCGGGCGCCTCGAAGGACTCGGCGAAGTAGGGGATCTCCCCAGTCTGGCGAGAGACGAACCCGCGGCGGGGCGGGAGGGGGAGGGGCAGGGGAGGGGGCGGGAGGGGGGGAGCGAGAACAGGGCTGGTGAGAGGGAGGGAGGGCGGGAGGGGGGGGGGGGGGGAGGGAGGGAGGAGGGAGCGAGGGCGGAGGAGGGGAAGAGGGGAAGAGGAGAGAAAGGGAGGGAGGGAGAAGGGAGGGCGGGAGGGAGAGGGAGGGAGTGCACGGAGTCGACGGCAGCCGTGGCAGGGGCTCTACAGAGGCTATCGCAAGGGGGAGGCAGGAGGAGGGAGGGCGGAAGGAAGGGGTGCGGGGAAGGGAGGGGGAAGGGAGGGGGGAAGGAGGAGAGGGAGTGAGTGGAGAGGAAATCAGGGGGAAGGAATATGAGGGAAGTGGAGGGAGGGAGGGAGGAAGGAGAGGAGGAAGGGAAGAGGAAGGGAGGAAGGGAGGCGTTGAGGGGAGGACGGGGGACAGAGAGGAGGGCGCAGAACCCGAGGGCGGACGGGCCGGCGCCACGCCCTCCCACCTTGTGGTGCTGGACGCCGCGGGCACAGCCGTCGAGAGAGAGGAAAGAGCGTGTTCTACCGCTGCTGGCGGAAAACCGGGGGGTCACTAGGGGTTCCCAACCCTTCCCCCCCCCCCTCGAAAACCGGGCGGGGGTCACTATCGGTTCGAGCCCCACCCCACCCCCACAGTCCATCATGAAAAGGGGGGGGTCACTACCAGTTCAAACCCCCCCCCACTCGAAAACCGAGGGGGAGTACCGGTTCGGACCCCCCCCCCTCGCCGCTGGCAAACGATTCCCGCTCCTCGGGAAGGTTGGACGGGGGTGGGGATACTGGGACAGTGGTGGGGACGGTGGTGGTGGGGACAGTGGTGTGGAAACAGTGGGACAGTGGTGCGGACAGTGGTGGGGACGGTGGTGGTGGGGACAGTGGCGAGGGGGCAGCGGGACAGTAGCGGGACAGTGGGACAGTGGTGGGGACACTGGTGGTGGGGACAGTGGTGAAGGCGGTGGTGAGGACGGTGGTGGGACAGTAGTACAGTGGGAAGAGTGGTAGGGACAGTGGGGACGGTGGGAAAGTGGTGGGGACAGTGGGACAGCACATTGGGACAGCGGCGGAAACAGTGGGGACAGTGGGAAACTGGTGGGAACAGTGGGGACAGTGGGACAGTGGTGGGAACCGTGGAGAAAGTGGGGAGAGCGGGACCGTGGTGGACAATGGTGGGGAGAGTGGGGACAGTGAGACACTGGTGGAGGCATTGGTGGGGACAGCGGGGACAATGGTGGGAACAGCGGGGACAATAGGACGGTCGTGGGGACTGTGGGACAGTGGTGGGGACGGTGGTGGTGGGGACAATGGTGTGGGGACAGTGGGAATGTGGCGGGGACAGTGGGACAGTGGTGGGGACACTGGTGGTGAGGACAGTGGTGAGGGCGGTGGCGAGGACGGTGGTGGGACAATGGGACAGAGGTACAGTGGGGACAGTGGTGGGGACAGCGGGGACAGTGGTGGGAACAGTGGGACAGCTCAGTGGGACAGCGGCAGGGACAGTGGAGACAGTGGGGACCGTGGGACAGTGGTGGGGACCGTGGGGAAAGTGAGAGGGTGGGACCGTGGTGGGAACAGTGGTGGGGACAGTGGTGGGGACAGTGGGGACAGTGCGACAGTGGTGGGAGCACAGGTGGGGACAGTGGGGACGGTGGTGGGAAAAGCGGGGACTTGGTGGTGTGGACGGTGGTGCTGGGGACAGCGGTGGGGGATGTAGTGCGGACGGTGGTGGGGACCCGGGAGTCGTTTGCCCCCGGTTTTGTGACCCCCCCCGGTTTTCTGGGGGGGGGGTCGAACCAGTAGTGACCCCCCCGTTTTTCCAGAAGGGGTGGGGGGGTCGGGGGGGAGTTCGAACCGGTAGTGACCCCCCCCGGTTTTCTGGAGCCTGAGGGGGGTTCGAGTCGGTAGTGACCTCCTCCCCCGGTTTTCTGGAGGGAGGGGGAGGTTCGAACCGGTAGTGACTTCCCCCCCAGTCCGGAGAGGGGGGGGGGTTAGGGGGGGGGGCTCCGGGGGGGAGGGGGGGGGTCCAGCCCAGCGGGGGGGGGAGGGGAATTTCGGAGGGGGGGGGAACCCCCGGGTTCGGCCCCTAAGAGGGGGGGGGGTGGGGGGGGGGGGGAATTTTCCACAGTAAAGCGGCGGTGGATCACGCTCTCTCAGAGAGAGAGAGAGAGAGAGAGAGAGACCCTGAGATCCGACGTTGCAAAATAACTGCAACACTGGACGAAAACCACGCCCCGAGGAGCCCTATCGTCCCCCTCTGTCTGCGTCCTGCCTCGAGCCGCGTGGGGCTGCGAGGGGGCCCCGGGGCCCGAAGAGAGGCGTCAACGCCCGGCTTGAAAAAAACAAGTTGAGGCGCGAGATCTCCGGGGCGAGAGCACACCTCGACGGGACTCCTCCTCCTCCTCCTCCTCCTCCTCCTCCTCCTCCTCCTCCTCCTCCTCCTCCTCCTCCTCCTCCCCTCCTCCTCCTCCTCCTCCTCCTCCTCTCCTCCTCCTCCTCCTCCTCCTCCTCCTCCTCCTCCTCCTCCTCCTCGCTCCTCCTCCTCCTCCTCCTCCTCCTCCTCCTCCTCCTCCTCCTCCTCCTCCTCCTCCCCTCCTCCTCCTCCTCCTCCTCCTCCTCCTCCTCCTCCTCCTCCTCCTCCCTCCTCCTCCTCCTCCTCCTCTCCTCCTCCTCCTCCTCCTCCTCCTCCTCCTCCCTCCTCCTCCTCTCCTCGCCTCGCTCATTCCAATGCCTTGGGGCACGCATGCTGCTTTAGGGTTCCTGGTCTCGGCGTCTCCCAGGGCCATCAAGGTTTGGAAGGCCATGCGACCTAAGCCTCTGCCTGTCAAGGGCGTTGTTGCCCCTGTAGAAGCCTGGCCGCACTTCTTGGCGCGGGCTCAGCTGCTGCAGCGTAAGCGGCCAGGCTTCTTCACGGCTAACTACGCTGCTGCCAGTCTCCTTAAGCTAGAGCATGACAACATTCAGGTCTCCCTCGATTTGGGGGCCCAGTTGCCTACTTGGATGGTTGCTCTTGAGCTGGAGGCTTTTTCGAAGCTTGGCTTCACTCAGGACCAGGTTTTCCAATATATTGGTCGTTGCCAGGAGCCCAGGTTGCGTTGGGTGCCCCTCATGGCCGCCCAGGTTGAAGGGCCCTGCCGGGCTGATCGTGACGCCCGTTTCTGGCAGGCCGCCTTTGTCAAGCTTAAGCTGCTGCTCAAGCTTGCCCCACAGGACTCCGCTGATGACATCCCGCCGCAGCCTCACCGAAAGCACGCTGCTCAATTTCGTGCCACTCTGGCTTGGCTTTCTCAGCAGGTGCCCCCCTCCCCGTCGGATCCTTCAGATGCTGGCCAGTGTGGCACCTTTAACTTGTGGAGGACTCGGTTTCAGCAGATTCCCGATATACCTTTTGACGGGCTGCACGACTTGTGATCTGAACTTCAGCAGGTGTCCGAGAAGTCCCACCGCGACGCCCTTCAGGCTCAGAAGGCCTCGTGGAGGGCTTGGCTCCAGGGCGCGCTCCTCAGGTCTGCGGGGCCGGCCCGCCGTTTGCTTAAGCCCTCCCTGGACCCCCTGGCGGCCGAAAAGATCGGCGAGGATGGGCCCTGCTCAGCCCTGGATCAGCTTTTTAGATTTTGAAGCAGCCGCTTGGACGGCCATCTGGCAACAGCACGATAAGGTTGAAGCGCGGACTGCGTTGGCTGCCCTGCGCAAGCGTGCTCGGTCGCCCCCGCGTTTGCCACCCATTGACCTTCACACCCTCAATCGTGCGCTCAAGTCGATGCCTGGCTCCAGGGGTCAGGGTTTGGATTTTATTGAGCCGCGTTTAATTAAGGAGGCTAGCGAAGATGCTAAGACCCACCTAATACAGCTACTCGAGTCCATTGAGGAGCAGTGCACTTTGCCTTTCCATCAGCTCTTTGCGCTGATCGCCCTTATCCCGAAGCCTGACGGGGGGAAACGGCCCATTGCGCTGCTCGGCTTTGTTTACACTCTCCTTTTGCGCGTCAGGAAGCCATTCATCACGGCCTGGGACCGTGAGGCGCACGGGCCCTGGGACCAGACCGTTGGTGGCTCGGCTGATGCTGCCGGTTGGCTCGACGAGCTTGAAACGGAACTCGCCCTCCACAGCGGTTTCCAGGTAGGGGGCCTGTTGCTTGACATGAAGAAGTATTATGCCCAGTCTGTCTTCAGGACTTGGTGGAAGCCGCCTGCCAATTAGATTACCCACTCCGTCTGTTGGCCCTGGCCATTGACCTGTACTTGGGGGTTCGGCATTTGTCGTTAGAGGGAGCTGTTCACCCTGGGATCCTGGCTCATGGGGGCATGTTGGCTGGCTGTGGCCAGGCCACCTCCCTCGCTCGTGCCCATCTGCACCAACCCCTTACAGGAGCCAATGGATCAGTTGGTGGTCTGCGGCTGCGGGAGTGGGTTGATGACATCTCAGCTCGCCTTTTCGGCACGCATTCCTCCATCGCTGCCACCTTTCCCATCCTGCTGCGTGCCCTCCTCACTGGCCTCAGGAGGCGTCGCTGTCAGTTGCCCCTGGATAAGTCCCATCTGCTGGCGTCTTCGCCTGGCCTTCGGGCTGAGCTGTCCAGGATTGCTGTCCGTGAGGGCTGCGAGTTCTCGACGGCTCTGGCTGCCAGGGACTTGGGGCACGACGCCGCCTTGGGCGCCAGGAGGGCTGTGGCCGTCAGGAAGACTCGCTTTTCCAATGGGCGAGAAGCCACTAGTAAAATGTGTGGTTTTGGGCGCACTTGCAGGCAGGCCAGTAAGTTGTTTTATCCTAGTGCTTATGCGAAGGCCATGTGGGCGCCAGAGATCCACGGCGCCCCCCCCCCCCCCCCCCCCCCCATCCATGCTCGAAGGTCTTCGCAGCGTGGCCCGTGCGGCCAGCAAGACCCCTCAGCGAGGAGTGCGTGCCACTACAGCCATCCGCCTCACTTTCGGCCATGGCCAGGACCCCCATC